TCTACCCCGGCAAATCACGCGCGACCGCGGCGACGGCACCTTCGATATCGACTACGACGATGGCGAGCGCGAGACGCGCGTCGAGGAGCGCCTCATCCGCAAGAAGGACGGCGGCGGCGGCGGCGGCGGCGATAGCTTCCGCGAGGGCGAGAAGGTCGAGGCGCGCTACCGCGGCAAGGAGCGCTACCACCCGGGCAAGATCCGCCGCGACCGCGGCGACGACACCTACGACATCGACTACGACGACGGCGAGACGGAGACCCGGGTCAAGGCGAGCTACATCCGCTCCAAGGACGGCGGCGGCGCCCGGAGCCCGTCGCGCGGCTCGTCGTCGTCGGACAAGCTGCGCGAGGGCGACAAGGTCGAGGCCAGGTACCGGGGCCGCGAGAAGTACTACCCTGGCCGCATCGAGCGCGACCGCGGCGATGGCACGTACGATGTCTACTACGACGACGGCGAAAAGGAGACGCGCGTCGAGGAGCGGTTGATCCGGAAGAAGGACGGCGGCGGCGGCGGAGGCGGCAAGCTCCGGGAAGGCGACAAGGTGGAAGCGCGCTACCGGGGCCGCGAAAAGTACTATCCGGGGAAGATCACGCGGGACCGCGGCGACGGGACGTTCGACATCGCCTACGACGACGGCGAGCGCGAGACGCGCGTGGAAGAGCGGCTCATCCGATCGAAGGACGGCGGCGGCAGCAGCGGCGGAGACAAGCTGCGGGAAGGCGAGAAGGTCGAAGCCAGGTATCGGGGCCGGGAGAAGTACTACCCTGGCCGCATCGAGCGCGACCGCGGCGATGGCACCTACGACATCTACTACGACGACGGCGAGAAGGAGACGCGCGTCGAAGAGCGCCTCATCCGCAAGAAGGACGCGGGCGGCGGCAGCGGAGGTGGGAAGCTCCGGGAGGGCGACAAAGTCGAGGCGCGATACCGAGGCCGCGAGAAGTACTACCCGGGCAAGATCACGCGGGATCGCGGCGACGGGACGTTCGACATCGACTACGACGACGGCGAGCGCGAGACGCGCGTGGAAGAGCGGCTCATCCGCGCCAAGGACGGCGGCGGCGGGGGCGGCGGCGGCCTGCGCGAGGGCGCCAAGGTCGAGGCGCGCTACCGGGGTCGCGAGAAGTACTACCCGGGCAAAATCACGCGCGACCGCGGCGACGGCACCTTCGACATCGATTACGACGACGGCGAACGGGAGACGCGCGTCGAGGAGCGGCTCATCCGGGCCAAGGATGGCGGCGGCGGCGGTGGCGACAGCTTTCGCGAGGGCGAAAAGGTCGAGGCGCGGTACCGCGGCAAGGAGCGCTATCACCCGGGCAAGATCCGTCGGGATCGCGGCGACGACACCTACGACATCGACTACGACGACGGAGAAACTGAGACCCGGGTCAAGGCGAGCTACATCCGCTCCAAGGACGGCGGCGGCGGCGGCGGGGGCGACAAGCTCCGGGAAGGCGACAAGGTCGAGGCGAGGTACCGCGGCCGGGAGAAATACTACCCCGGGCGGATCGAGCGCGACCGCGGCGACGGCACCTACGACATCTACTACGATGATGGCGAGAAGGAGACGCGCGTCGAGGAGCGCTTGATCCGCAAGAAGGACGCGGGCGGCGGCGGGGGCGGCGGGAAGCTCCGCGAGGGCGACAAGGTGGAAGCGCGCTACCGGGGCCGCGAGAAGTACTACCCGGGCAAGATCGCGCGCGATCGCGGCGACGGCACGTTCGACATCAACTACGACGACGGCGAGCGCGAGACGCGCGTCGAGGAGCGCCTCATCCGCGCCAAGGACGGCGGCGGCGGAAGCAGCGACAAGATCCGCGAGGGCGACAAAGTCGAGGCGCGGTACCGCGGGCGGGAGAAGTACTACCCCGGCAAAATCA